GAAGATCCTGGAAAAACTTGGGAAAACATGAGGCAAATTTACTCATCGCTGAGTTCCTGCACTTTATTTCTTATTTCTGAGATAAGTTAACTCAAATTTGGGTCGTTCTCATTCGCCGTGATAGATATCGGCACCGGTGGTTAGCGTGATTACCTCTCATCCCAGCAGGCCTGGGTCCAATCTCAGTCGGTAGCATTGGAGCTCAGTACGGAAAACAAATCTCGCGTCACTTTTCAATAGGTCCTATCTACATTGATCGATTCTCTTCATCGACACTCTCTTTCGTAAATAACTCGGCTTCACAAATCTGGATCAACAATAGAAAAGGGCCCATCAGCATTTGTAAACAAACCGTTCCAAAGCCCATTCCGCATAAAGCGAAGGCCACTCACACAAACCAACACAATCATCGGATAGGGGAAACATCTACCTACACGATGATGGTGTTGGTTTGTGTGAGCGGCCTTCGATTTGTTAGGAATGGGCTTTGGAACGGTTTGTTTACAAATGCTGATGGGCCCTTTTCTATTGTTGATCCAGAAATGTTTCCTGCCGTCTTCGTCGAATTAGATGCTAGATTGTTGCTTCTTCCATCAAAAATATCCTGATACACTTTCAGCACACCTCGTAAATCAAACCGGAGATACGTCAGACACCGCCATGGCGAGCCAGACAACGGATGGTGGTTATCTAATAGCGAATTCGTTTATTATTCCGTTCCAACCTGGATCGGGTATCCGGATTGGGTCTGCTTGTTTTCTGACAAACGTCAGTTTGCTCGTTTCTTTTTAAAACCTAGCTCAGGTTGAGGTTCGCACTGACAAAAAGTTCGGTTTCGCACTGGGTTGGAACTGGTTCCAACCCCGATAATAAACGAATTCGCTATTAAAGAATTTGCGTTTGGTTCTGAATATGGCGATTAGTGTGCAAAATATTACGCAATTCCATCCTCCCTATTCGCACGCGCCCGAGGATCGGAGGCGAATGCCACTTCGACTTGTTTCGTCTACTTACTACTCTCTGACGACTGTGCTGGGGAAGCAGCATATGCATGTAGGTAATTGGTCAATTTGTTAGTTAATTCGACGCTTTTGGACAATGCTGGACATTTACCAGTTTTTCAATAGTTTCTTGTTGAAAATCAGCATTCAGGAGCATTGTTATCAATGCGTAGCCATATTTCTGATCGATTGGTGATAAAATTGTTGAAATTGGACCAGGGGCAGCTGAGTTATTAACGTTCAAAATCTTTCTTAATTTGTTACATGTTCCATTTTCAGTTTTCACAAAGTGTATCCCCATATAGAAATCAAAGACGTAGTCCTACGTCAAAAGTTGAGCACTTTTCTTCGGGACCTTCTAATCTTAGAGTCTCCTCATGCTATGACTATACACTGAAAAAATTTGCAAGTAGTAAACGATATACGTATCTGTTTTGGTTCATAATAATAGTGAAAGTGATACAACAGTAGTGGAATTAAAAGTGAAAATCGACGAAAAAGGTATATAATACTATAGAATTTTGAGCTAAACTGATCGCTCAACTTTTAACTTAATCATTCATACATACATATTTACTGAAATTCTTAAAAGTTTCGAATGCAATTGAAGAGCATCGAATAAAAATCATGACATTTCTAGCAAATGATGGCATTTGTGAAGGTATTTTACGCAACTTACAACAAGATCAGTCCCAACTTTCATACCACATTTTCCAATGAATTCAATAATCATCCAACCCGATGAAGTGTTCACAATTTCAAAGAGCTTTCTCACAGCTTCTAATGACTTAATCTCAACTTTTCACCAAAATTACTGAAAATGGACAAAGCATTTATCATAATTTCCAAATACATTGATTGTGATTTATATAAAAAAAATGCTTCAGCTGTTAATGAGATTTATTTTAAAAGGTATCAGCTCAGATGCCAGACTGTAAATTAAATTGGTTTTAATTTTATTGAAAAATGTATGAAAAATGAATGTATAAAGAATGTATCAGGCATTTTGACAATGTACGGATAATGACGCTGCCAGAGAATGACTTTTGAATACCCTCAAGGCCCAAAGAAGACAATCATACTTTCTGCAAATGTCTCGAGGGGGACGAAACTCCCAGATTTATTGTAATTTTATGAATTAATACCTTTGTTTTGATGAATCTGTTCATGTCTTCATACATCCATTTTTCCTATATAATCTCTTAAATTATTAATATCGTTTTTAATCGAACACATCTCTATCATATCGGGCGACAGCTCTAACTATCTCATGACAGATAACGAAATTTTAGGACGCCGCGAAGGAGTGTCCAATAGACCTTTTTGACGTTTAATCGTTTTTCTCTATCTAGCACACATGGATGGTTTGTTTTCCCACTAATCTGTTTCCCTCTTGCTCGCACTCGTTCAATTTAAATTGTGCAGTAGTGTGTGCCGATTAAACACCAAAAATTTCTATGCGATGTAAACAATGTGATTTTGTCATCTCTTTCGTTTTCCCTGGTTGATGGACTGTGACGTCAAACTCTGTCATCCATTGCAACAGCGGAAAAATGAAATTGACGAAAAATTTACATTGTTTACATCACTTTAGTGGTCGTATGGATTTTCGGTTTGAATTGAGATAAATTTAACACGTAAAAAGGCACCGATAAGATGAGAACGATGATAATATCACGGTTTAGAGGTGTTCTAAATTGAAGCTGGAAGTGGTTACAAAGGCAAACGAATGTTGGCCGATAGCTGATAACAGTGGGGAATGGAGGTCTAGAACTTACGAAAGAAATTTGTAGGTTGTTAGCATCATACAAAGAGTATCGGAGTGTGTTTCTGCTGTAGATGATTGGGGGAATTTAGATTTTGGGTGGGTTGAAATAATAATATATAATGTTTATTTCCGCACAACTTTTTGAAAATATCAAAAAGCAACTACTGCTGGCTAGCTATGAGCGATCTGAAGCGCGATACACGCCATTTTGAGGCTACTCATTTTTGAGTCGAAAACGCCTCAGTCCAGCCAAAAGGGAAGTTACTCAAAAATGAGTAAATATGTATTTACTCAATTTTGAGTAAACGTGCCTATGGAGGAAACTGGGTAACGGTTACTACCTGCTTATAGCTTTCGCCATCCAAGCTATTACCAATCGGTGGAAACTAACGATTTCAAATTGGCTCACAGTGGACTAGCCTATCGGTCCCAAGAACACCCATTAACGTACCAGAGCAGAGCCAAAAAGTTGAGCACGTTTTTTCGGGACCTTTTGGTCTTAGAGCTACCTTTATGCTATTAAGTAGCTGCTTCATTTTTACTGCTTCACTTTAAAAACTATTTTTAGACTCACTGCACAAAAGTTGCCTGTTCACAACTTCAAAGTGTGTCATTTTGAACTTACGAAAAATTGATATCAGAACCATTTACCCAGAATCTGAGGAGCAAAACCAGTTTACTCATTTTTTGATAACTCGATTATTTCGATGCAACTAAGCTTCGATATAAAGTAAAGAAATTAAGATTTAAGAAGCTTTATATCGAAGAATGACGATGTACTTCAATTTATGGTTAAAATTAAACCAAGAAGCGTTGCAGAAGACTTCAACTTTTTAGATGGATGTATCCCCAGAACGTTATTAATTTATTCTTGCTAGATTTTATTAATGGCCCCCTGTCTTTGCTTGGGATATGCCTATTATTGAATAAAAGGATTTGAATTATGTTCGTTTCCCAATAGTTCTATCAAAAACATAAAATATTGTTTATATGCATGTAAAGTCACGTCACACAAGGTGATTATTGTCACTTCCCTAGAGAAATAGAGTTTCGGTTATATTAATGTGTCCTAGTTATAATACCTGATCTCAGGTATCATCGGAAAATGGTACCCCTAATTGGAAATAGCTTCTAGGTTTACTTTAAACCGAGCTTCAAGATTTGTTTTTAAATGAGTTTTCTATCAGATACATTGTTTTGATACTTTCCTCTTCGTGCAGCATGTGCTCGATGTTCACCTGTGTGCAGCAACTGACACTTCTCTATCATTCTCACGAATACTTTTCTGCTTTTGCATCGCAACAGCATACTACGAAATGTAAGGTCAATCCAATATGGCGCCCATCGTTGCACACCAGCAAACTGCATCCCACACAACAACCGAGCAAAATCATCATCATTGCATACTTCCATAGAGTTTAATTGAAAATGCATTCACTAGCACAAAGAAACACATAAATCATTAACGACAGCGATGATGCCGATGATGATATCAACATTGACGTTCATGAACACCACTCGGTCGGGTGGGCGAACAGAGCATAGGAAAACAAACATGAAAAACAGCGAGAATAAATAGGTAGAACGAATGTCGGAACGAAAGCGATACGCGCAAAGCCGCAAGATACACATTGATGGGCGAGGAGATGTTCCATACCGAACATTATGAAGTCAGCCGACACACCACGACATCGCGCATTAGCATGACACCGACCGACGACCGTCAGTTGTTTTACCAGGAAATGGATGGTGCATTCTTCGTGACGAGTTATTTGTCTGGATGGACGGTATTATTCCTAAGTGAAGTTGCAAGGCGTTGATTGAGTCATAAATGATGGAATGTTGGATAAATTTATGCTGTGCATATTTATGAATATTTATTGAAGATGAGTTGAGTATACTAGGAATACTTTTATCAAAAATAATCTATTCCATACCAGTTTTTTACGGTCTATTGTGCACTATTTAATTGCATCAGAAGACATCATGCTGAACAGTTGCCAATAGTTAACGCCTATAGAGATAAATGCAGCAATGTTTGTGTGAAATTTGCGATTTATGTTTGTTTCTGAACTTAAAGTTAATGAAACATTGATTATTACTGAGTATACAAATAAGTCGGTTGACAACGGCATGATGCCTCTTCATGGTCCCACACTACATTAATCTACGTTGCAAATCTTCGAAACACGCATAAAACCTGGAATATCGGTACGATCTACTTGTTTACTCCTCTCATTGTGGCAAAGAGCAAGAGGATGCATCGTCCAAATGTCTAAAGTAGTCCCGCTCAAAGTCACTGATGAGACGCGCCTGGTCCGTTTGGAAGTTTTGCTTCTTCATCTGGTCGACTGCCATCAGAAGCTTCTTGTAATCTGCCAGTACTTCGCTTCTTTGTTTTCTTAATTGTCTAATTTGTTTTTCGTAAGTCAATCGCTCCTGTCGTGCTGCATCTCGTGTCTCCTACGGAGATAAGAAAAAAATATGTATAGTCCTACATGAGTGGATTCTGTAAAAGAAGGGTGCTACACATGCGATCGTTAACATCATCTTCGAAGCGATAAAAGCACGCAACCACCGCTAATGACACAAAGGCCACTAGCACAGAATTCCTGGCTTTGCTCACTAACTGCCTGAGAAAATACAACAGCCATAACACAAAAAAAAACATAAGAGAGACCTTTTCGGCATCGTTGGCGATGGTTAGCTTGATCTTGAGACCGTCGTTGTCTTCCTGTGCTTTGAACAGTCTTTTCTCTAGATTTTGGTTGTTCTGGGTCAAGCAGCGTATCTCGGTTCGCGCCGTTGACAGCTCTTTTGCACTGTTGATTATTTGGACTTCCTTTTCCTGTGGGAGAAAGCGGGTCAGTGATGTTAAAATTTCTGCAGTTATGAAATTGGCTTTATTAGTTGATAAATGAGCGGAAATGTAGAAAATACCGAAGGTCGGCAAGCTTAGAGGAAATAAGAGATATTTAGAGCGCAAAAAGTAAGAGGTTGTATCCAAGACACGACCGTACATTTGAAGTAGCATTACGAAAGGTAGTTTTGATGTCACAGCAAAAGTATGGTAAATATTAAATCAGCTCGTTATCAGTGAAAAAGTTCATTAGGTTGAAACTCAGAAGTGATTTGAGAGCTCTTACGTCACTTTTTAAATAGACCAATGTAACATATCCACCATTTTGAGAAAATCGAAGTTGAAGTTCGACTGATGATCATTTTTACTGTTTCGAAACAATACATTTTGATATACCTACTATTTTTAGTTTAGTCAGTGAAAATAACGTTGAAAATTCATAGAAACGGTAAAATCACAATTTTATTTTGAATTTCATGCTACAATATAGAAAAAAAAACCAAACACATAGGACGTTTTAAGTAGTCAATTTGTACATCGGACAAGTTACATTGGACGATTTTTCTCAATGACATAATCAATGAGTTTTACATTGGTCGTTTTGTTCTACATGATACTAGATTCCCTTTCACAGATTTCAGAATAAATTCCAAATGTCTGAAGTAACAATCACGTACTCATAATTTCAAACTGTACATTGGACAACTTTTGACCTATGATTATCTTAAATAAATGAAAGCAAATTTGGATGGGTATGTTTGTATCACATACAATGATAGAAGAGCAATGGTGTGTATCGATTAACTCTATGGTTTACATTTGTTACTTAGGACCTCTTGAAAAGTTCCGCGAGAGTTCTGTTTTTGAGGTGCTCTGTCGATGTCCATGTAGTACAAGCCAATCCGATGGGTTGGAAGCTTGGAATCCAGTTTAGAACAATGCTGTGGAAACTTTTCCACGATGTTCTTGGAGATGATAGTGGTGTGGAAATGAAATATGTATTAGGGAAAACACATAAATCACAGAATCTAAGCCTACCGGACGTTTGTGCCTTTTGATGCAAATTTTAAGGTACTTCTATTAGAAGAATTTGGCAAGATTTTTTTGGCATAATTCTCTTAATAGGACGGCCTTAAATTAGCATCACAAGGCATAAAGATAGGTACGGTCTGGCATGGTCAGTGTTTGGTATGAACATTCGGCGGCGCTAGGGAAACGCCTCGTTTTCTGATGACAAAATGACGGAATTTTTGGTTTATTCAATAGATAATAAAAAAGCGAATATTGATTGGAGGAATTTCTTGCTAATTTTTGTTCCAATCGCGAGATATTCGCGATCAATCATATGAATTAATTGTATCATCCAGCCATTTTCCACAGAGAGTGCGCTGTTCCGCTGGTAGGAAGTAATAAAAATCCCGATATAGAAATTGAGGGAAGTGGGAATAATTCACTTTCGGTGCATATTCAGGTTAAAAAAAGGGAACGACAACCTAAAGGGACAAATTTTACTCATCGCTGAGTTCCTGCACTTTTGGTGATTATGAGTGAACTAAACTCAAATTTGAGTGGTTCTCATTCGCCGTGTATGAACATTGCGCGAAGTTTTCCCGCCGATTGGGGAGTTGGAAAATCAGACAGTGGATGGATGACGACAGAGACATTTATGGCCTATATTAGAAGTGTGTTTCACCCTTATTTGGTGCGAGAAAATATTCCACTTCCGGTGATCTATTTCATTGACGGGCATAAGAGCCATACCGCGGATGCAACTGCTGAAGAGTGTATTCAACTTGGGATCATCCTTGTATGTCCCTACGCAAACAGTACACATATTATTCAACCAGCTGACGTAGCAATTTTTCGTTCGCTGAAGGCTGGGTGGACCAAGCCGGTACGGATTTGGCAGGCTGCACATCCAGGTAGCAGATGTCATGAAGTTATGTTGTGGTTTTACTTATTTTGTTTCATCGTTTCCAAATTTAGGTAAGGTAATTCGAACGGACGAGTTCGGTGGAGTTTTACAACAGGCCATCGACGTTTCTTTTAAAGATCGTCGATTACTCGAAATGTATAGCAGGCAAGACAAATCCGGAACCGAGTGTTCCTTCCACAAAGGAATCCACTATTGCTGTTTCGCGTGAATTGCTCGAGGGAATAATTCAGAAGATTAGTCCAGTGCAAGCTGCCCTTTACCGCGAACTTAATGTTGATTTTTTCACGGGGGAATCAGAGAGAATAGTATGCCAATTGTATAAAGCAGTGTATAAAGCAGTTGTTGTCAACGTGTGATTAATGAAAAATCGTGCGAACTTGGTCAGAATAATGATGAAGCCGAACTCAGCTGTGAACAGATGTGCACTGATTCCGTTTCAGATGAGTACATTTTACCTATTTCTTTGTCTCTTTGAATAACATTGTGATATCTTTCATAACAGCGAGATTAAAGCTTTCTCTGAAGAAGATGAGACCCAGATGAGGTGCTTAATAATGAAACCGGCGAACTCGGTCAAGTTAATGACAAAACTGATCTCCATCATTTCTCTGACGATATCAACACCCGTTCATCGCAAGATAAAATCAACACGAGCGATCCGATCCCTTCGTTTCATGACCTGATGGAAGATGCTTCTTTTGATGAACCGGACATCTTATGTATGGAAAATGCAAATTCTGAGAAAGATCCATTGTCCTTGTCAAACTGTACTGACCAAGACAAGACCATTCAGAGCTATTTAAGTGAACCCAGTACGCCTAAGAAGAAGAACAGGAAGTTCAACAAACCGAAGAGCCCACCAGTTTTGACTTCTCGAAAACGTATAGAGTTTCATCAGAAGAGACAACAAGACAAAGAAAACTCAAAACAAGAGAAATTTCGGAAGGCTGAAGAAAAGCGCAAACAACGAGTAAAGCGAGCAGAAGACAAACAAATTGAAATGATCAAAAAAGCGGCGGAGCGACTGGAGCGTTTGAAGTATGGATTGCAAGAAATTAACAATAATAAAGATTAACCTACACTTATTTCAAATATTGTTTGAATATTCAACGATATTCAATGTTTATTGTTAGCTCCCTTTCTTAAGCTCAACAAAGATAATTAAATAAAATGAAAATTAAAATATGTTATTGTTAATTTCTGGGTTCAAGATTTAAGATGGCACAAAATGATTACCCGTAACTGAACTATTTTAACAATGATATCGTTCTTGGAGATAGAAGGGAACAAATTGAATATGTAACAAGGGGCTATACATAAACTACGTTGATGTTTTTTTTGTCGTTTTAAACCCCCAACCCTCCCCCAGCGTAGACGATCGCCCATACAATTTTTTTTTTAGAAATTTGAATGAACCGTATACAACTGCCACGCCTCTCACCCCCTCATCCGTCTACGTAGTTTATGATCAGCCACTGTCACTCTAGGAAACACTCATTGATTATGTCATGCAAGAAAGGGGGAGGGTTTTAGAAATTGTGACGATGCAAACGATAAAATTACAGATCCATACAAAAATACGTGAAATAGCGGGGAAATTAGGCCTTTTAAGCGTGACGCAATTGATGAAGGTATCTTCTTCGGCACCAAGTTGTATGTTCTATACTTAGAAAACAATAAATAACAACATACTCTAAATGCATAAACATGTTTGCATAAATTGTCCACCTCAGTGCTGACGTTTCCTTTAGTGGATCCGGGTCCATTAAACGTATAGTGGACAGGGGTTCACTTTAGGAAGCAGGGGTCTATTATAGGGAAACTGCACTACATTTTTAAACCAGCTTTATTAACCCAACTTACGTAGAAAGCGATGTTTTTCTCAAACAGGTGTCATGCACAAATGTTGAAAATTATGACCAATTAAAAACTTATCACATTTGTGTTGTCACACACACAAAAATCACACACAAATACTTTTTGTTCCTACTAGGGGGTCCACTATTGGTCAACTTACCCTACCTGACACTGCAAAACATTTTTGGTACCTCTATATATGCATTTTGATTAACATTCTAAGTCCCTCCTTTTTTACATATTCTGCACAAACGATTCTTTCTGCCCACCCCCATTCATAGAAATCGGCGCGAAATCCTGTGAGGAGTGAGCTATTTTGTGTGCAGAATGTGTAAAAAATCTGCTGCTGCTGACGTTTGACCATACACCACCACCGGAGACTTCTTCAGTGTCTTGTACTAATACTCGACTGAAGAAGCACATTGTAGACGAAATGCGCGTATCTGTCAAGGATAAGCAAATAAGGTAGCGGAATTAAATGGAAATTACAAATCCTTCTCTCTTTCCTTATACATGACGCCCACATCCATCAGTAAAAATTCAATGTAAAACTATACACTACGAAAAAGTCATGCACATTTCGGTGCCCTAATATCGACACATGTAATCTACATTTAAGGGATTTTTTTTCCTTTGGTTTGTTTTTTCCGTCGATCTTGTTTTCCGTGCTCCAATGCTACCGACGTGCCAGGAAGGCAGCTCCCACACCTGGACCCTACCTATCGACCCATCAACTCATGAACCGGGGACCAACGGCTTTACTTCCCATCCGAAGGAGGGCGTGATCAGAGATGTTATGCCTCAGAACATCCCGGCGGCACCGACTGAGATTGAACCCAGGCATGCTGGGGTGAGAGGTAATCACGCTTACCACTACACCACCGGTGCCGTTAATTTTACCAAATTAATGAGTAACTGTTACTCGTAAAATGTACAGGTAACAGTTATTCATAAATTAGTAAAAGGCACTTTTAATGAACATAAAACATTTTTAATGAGTCAAACCTTTTTTCACAAATGGGTGAAAATTTTCCAGCTATGGGTTCTTTGGAGTTAGTGTGTTTGTTTTCATTCGTATTTATGGATATTTTTTTTTCGTTAGTCGGTTCATAAATTGTTTCAAAACTGTAAAAATCAAGTGACTACGAACAAGGAGATGGAAGCGGTAAAGAAAATGCGGATAATAATGTTATTT